TCTCTCTATCTGTAATTCTTTCAAATAAATTAATAAATCTTTTAAAACAACAAAGATTAAGAACTTAATAAATATTAAGGATTCTTCCCAGTGCTGTATAGGCAATACTTAATTGAATCCTCAAAAGAATTGCACATCAAGTGCAATCATTATCCTCACTTTACAGCTATGGGAATCATGCTCTAAAGAGGGCAAATTAATGACTCATGACTGAGGACCCAGATTTCAACTTAGTGTGTGTGAACTGAAAGCCTGTGTTATAGCACCACACTACCTCTCAACACGGAGAACACTTGTGTCAAATTCACAGTGAGAAACACACTTCAATCCTTTCAAGCAAAATTAGTCATACTGATGTGGCTAAGACAGAATATAAAGATATGTCAAAGCATTCCCGTGTTTGTCAATTTGTAATATGATTTTTTTAAATTAATAGCAGTCATTCATTTGGTGTCATTTTATTCAAAACACAAAAAGATAGCAAGAGACAGACAGAGTTTTTCCATCCACTAGTTCACTCCCCAAATCCCCACAGCAGCTGCGGTTGGGCCAGGCCAAAGCCAGGAGCCAGGAACTCAATTTGGATCTCCCATGAGACTAGCAGGAACCCATGTACTTAACCTACGTACCAGCTGCCTCCTAGGGTGTATGCTTGCAAGAAGATGGGGCTGGGAATATAGTCAAAATTCAAACCCAGGCACTCAGATATGGGATGTGGACCAAGCAGCATCTGAACCCCTGGAATAATATTTTAGGCAAATGTTTATACAAGCGTAAGTGCTATCTTTCTGCTCTCTTTATAGAAATGTGTGGATTTTCATCTGGGTATGTGTGTATGTAACAAGAAAGACACAGATGGAGGCAGGTTGTTTTTTTTTTTATCTCTGTGTCTTAATTTTGTATTATAGCAACCTGAACAGGTCACCAAGGTACCACAACATAACGGCCATTCTGAAGGGAGAGTCATAAGCTATATATCTCATCTCTGCTTTCTTTCCAATTTACTCAGTGTGGAAAATGACATTGGCCTTCCAAACCCTTAACTTATTTTTGGACCCTTTCCATCTCTGAGTCTTATTCCAGTGCTGTTGACCATTAAAATGAATATTTCAGTGGGGCTGGAACAGTCTCATTAGCCCAAGCCAACCTTTATATGGCTTGTGCACTTTTAGAGGTTAATCTAGCAAGCCAACTCACTGTGTTCAGAAGTATTTAATGGAAAGACTGTAACATTCAAAGAAAGGCAAAGTTCACTGGGTAAAACCTCAATAATATAATAGAGCATAAAACCTCTAGAAAATTTTTTCATACCATTTTATGAAACATGTGCACACACTCACTGGAGCAGAATCCATTTCAAATGATTCTGAAGGTCAGTTCAAAGTCACCACATCAGCAACAACTGTGAGAAATCTATGCTATTTCAATGCTGTCTAACCCAGAAGCTTCCTCTCCCTGGATTATAGTTCCTAATCAAGCCAACACTGTACTACACAAGGGGAAAAAATGTCACCTACTACAGACATGGCACTATTTTCAGTCAAAATATAAAATTCGGTAAAATATTCCAAATTTCCACATCAACACATCCTTGCCTTAAGAAGCAAAAGAAATCACAGAGTGGCAATCTAGAAGGAAGTGGTACTTTAAGTGTGGACAATAATGTGAAACTTAAAAACAATTACCCAGTTCTCAACTTCAAGACCCGTGATAGAAAGACCAGTTGTTAGAGGGGGAGCAAACTGACACTCAGTTACTACATTCAAAAAGAGAGTGAATTAGGAAGAGCCAATTCTAAGCGTTATTCTGATGCTTCTCAAAAGCCCACATTCTAGGAGCAACCCGGCTCTCCTACAGGGAAGGAAGTAAAGGTCCACTTTGCATGGCAAAGGTCAGCTGTCTGCGGGCAGAGGAGCCTCTGTAGTTGACTGTTCCTGGGTAGGTGCTGTCTGGAAAGGTCCCCAGAGGTCAGGACAGGTTCCAAACTGGGCTCAGTGCTTCAGGGAAGTCCCTGGGGCGGCCTTAATCAACTTAAGATCTTTGGGACTTTTCTTCCCCTGGTTCCAGTTTTACTTTCTTACATCTTGCTAAGTACATATTAGCAATTCAGTATGGATATAGATACAAAAGAAATTAAATGTGGTTAGGATTATATGCAGATCAAAAGATATAATCCACTCATCTAAACCTGTGATGGAGTTCTATGCAACGCAAGTTAAAAACAGAGGTTGCAAATCTGGCTCCAACAGAAAAAGATGACTCTAACAGCTGTTCTGGTATTTACGCTCTGGGATCAGTGTCGCTACTTGAGTTTTTATTTACCGTAGTGCATGATCAATGACACTACTCTAGATTTTATTTACTATGGTGCAGCTTTACACAACAGCTATCTTCAACAGTGGCCCTAATCATCACGTATGTCTTATAATGGTAAAACTTCATGGTTTACTTTCTTTGTAATGACTGTTGAGTTACCGAAATGTAACAAAGACAGAAGCAAAAATTATTATTTGACAACCTATCAATGCTCCTCTATATAATGTAAATACATGTCAAAATTTTCTCACAATGGAACTGAAAATATGCCAAGTAGATTATATTTCTATAAGTTGGAAGACTTTCACCTATTTATAATTAACGAAGGGGATCTCTAAATGTCTCATATAGAGTATAGGAAACATCTGTATTTAATTATATCGTACTTTTCTTAAACAGACAATGAGAATTGAATTAAGGAATATTTTGAAACCCCTATAGAGATATTAAAGTATTAACGGCTGTTCAAGAACTTTATCGCTACAAAGCTTGAAAATGTTTGGTTTTACAGATCAACAGCCTGACACTTCATAAATATCAGATTTTCAATATAAAAGGAAGCAACCTGACATACTGGACAAATACAGAAAATACACTGCTGGGAAAGACCAATGCTTTTCACTATATATAGATATCACATAAACAGGCACAGAAGTATCCGGGATATTTGCACAAAGGGGATAAAGGTTTGAAACGTATATCCAGAGCAGGATTTCTCTTTGAATTTTGTTGCAGATTGAGAATTTCCAGTAGCAACTTGTGATTCCTTCTTGACCAAGGCAAAGGAATTGTCCTCATGGAAACCATGGGACACCAAGTATAGTTTTTTAGTACTGGTCCTTACATATTGAGAAACAGTTCAGATTTTCTTTCTGGATGCAAAGGGCTCTCAAATGCCACCTCTTTTCAAAGTCAGCATCAGCTCTGTCAGTTTTCCATCTCTCAGTGGTAAGAATCTATTCAAAGGCTTTGTGCTCAGCAGGACACAAATCCTGCCCTGTGAATGTAACTGAATCACTCATCAGCAACCTCCTACCATAAGAGGACTCAGTATTTTCTTTCCTTTTAGAGACTCCTTGGATTCTTGCATGCCAGTCACTGCCCCGAGGCCTGAGGCAATACTCACATAATCTCTGTCAATAGCTCCCACACATGCCATTGGCACAACCAAATGTCAAGGCTGTAGATGAAAGTCCCACGTTCTAAAACTCATGTCCTTTATGGGTCAATTTTCATAAACTATACTCCCTGTTTCAGAAGTGGATAGAGGCCCACTCTGCTTTCGTTCTTTTATCCCAGAGTTTATTTATAAGAAAGGCAATCTGCCTTGTAGATCACAGTGTGAAATTCTGGTGCAAGATGTAAAACTCAGTTCTTGCCTTTGCATAGGTTACTCTTAAAGTATTGTACTACATCTATCATTTTAGAGCTAAAATGCAAAAATCTTTAGGCTACTATACAAAAAAAGGCATTGATCACTTAGTAATGTTTAAGCATCCTTTTTGTGGTATCTGGTGTGATATAGGCTAAGTGGTAGATAATAAATTCTTATTCATGACTGATTTTATTTTTAAGCTTTCATGATGCTACAAGCCAATTATATGAGAGAAAGTAGCTTCAGCATGTGTTTTTACAATGCATATCAATTTTAATTACTCAAAATTGCTTGGGAAAAGGAATGTAAGTATCGAAATTATTTTTTGTTCTGTGTATTTCATATACAAATTATATAGACCTAAACTTTGAGGAAACATGAAACCATCTTCTACGAACACTTTTTCAGATCAGTGGGGACCATAAAAGTTTTTTAAAAAAAACTGTCTCTAAAGGACTACATTTGGCAAACGTTGTAAGATTTAGAACAGAATGTCACAAAAACTATGTAAAATAGCTAAAGTTTATATATATATATATGTATGTATGTATGTTATAGTAGTTAGAACATTTAACATTAAATACACATGTATCAGAGAGTGTAGGAAGGAGAAGATAGGAAAACAAAAACAGGCCTGAGTCAGTTCAGGGCTGCTGACTAAACTGCAAATACAAGCTTCATTGTCCCAGTTCTGCTCATCAATTTTTAACACAAGTGCATGGGGTTTTTAGGTACAAATCTTCACTCTGAGTTCTCTGGAATCTGTGAGATGTTAGGCAAGTCACTTCCTCAGATGTAGCCTGGGCCTTACCTGTTTTTATCAGATAAACAATTACAGTGTAGGATTTTAAGACACTTGTCAGGGTGTAAAAAGTTTATTATTCCCACTTTTTGTAATAAATGGTTGAGACTCGGCAAAAAAAATGCATAATGGGAGGAAATTATAGAGGCCTTGACTAATGGAGTAAAGTTTCTGCAAAATCAAAAATCTAATTTTCTTCAATGTACCCTGTATTGCTAATAGGAAAATAATTGGGCTCAAATCCAAATACAATAAACTTGCAAATTTAAAAAACAGATATTCTGATTATATAGTAGATCAACTGATACAGGAATTAGCAGGAGTGTGTGTGTGTGTGTGTGTGTGTGCACTCACAGGCACATGCTTATCTGCATGTTTCTGCAGCAGGCAGAGAGGTGTAAAATGTGTATGATTGACATCCTTTGATTTTCTTTTAGGGGTGCAGGAAAATGAAGCTACACACATGCTACACAAGAGCAGGTGAGGTTCTTGTTAAAAGCAACTTACCAGTTTTTCGAAGGGGGAAATCATCCTTGGTATCCTGTGCCCCTGGTAATGTGTATTTGTAGGATGGCGACGTCCCGCTAAGGGGTGGAGAGCTTTGATCCAATGACGTGTGGTGGGCAGCCCTGCAAGAGGCAAAGAAGGTTTACTATTGGCTCTGGCATTTTCCAGCGGGCGGGTCAGCAATAATCAGTTGCACATGCTGGACACGTGCCTCAGCTGTGTTTATGTTCTCCGTGTACACAAACCACAGCCTCGCGTGCCCATGTACACTGCAGCAATATGTGATGGAAAGACACACGGACTGGTCATACAGGCCCATAGAAACGTTTGTTCACTCACTAAAAGAATTTACCAGCAGCCCAAGCTTTTGACAATCTGAGATTATTGGGTTCTGTTTCCTTAAAAGGCACAATAGCAAAAAGGCATCATGGTGCTCACAGTCAAGGACTTCCTCTTTAAGAAATGCTAAGAAGTACAGACAAGGACACGAGGTCAGCTTTTATACTGAAAACACAATACTGCACCAGCAGGGTCGGATCTCCTGACTTCTATAGCAGTTCCAAAGGTATAGAGTTGGACTCTTCTCCTATATGGAAGTTTTTTTTTTTTTTCTCCTAAATGGGAGGGTTTTACAACTATTTTCTCTGTCTTGGGTAAATATAGTTAGAGCTACAGTGGTGTTACCACAGCATAGCTTCTAGGTCTGAATGTAGATCACCCAGTGAAAGTAAACATCTACAATTATTATGTATGTTGCAAAGAATGGACAGGACATGGTGCTACCACCACCATAATTGTTTTTCCCACTGTCACTTATTAGACTCATATATTCTCAAAAATTATCTGGTTTATATTTTATCTAGCTACGTCCAGCCAAAGCGGCATTAAATTCAGATTCCATAAATCGGTGATTTATAGCTTTCCGGAGTTTCGCCATACTCAAGTTCAGTTCCTTCCAAACAAAAAAGGATCTCTAAGTAACATCTAAGAGTTGTGTGTGATATGAGGATAATTCACAAGTTCATGGAAAAATTCAATTAAAATATAAGATTATTTTGGTGCAAAATTTCTTTGACATCCATACATACTTTTCTCATAACATGAAGTTCCAAGATCTTCTTGAAGGCCATTCACAGAGATGAGTTTCACAATATTATACATTAAAATAAATGTATTTTTTAATTCCATTTTTCATAAACTTTTAAAAGTATTCTCATATACCCAGCAGAATAGCTAAAGAACTTTCAGCTAAAGAACTGCTTGCATGTAGCAGTCTCTCATTACAATATGACATAATCTTTTCTTAAAACAGACTTTCTTTTTGAAGGAGTAATCAATTAGTAATAATTATGTATGTAATTTTAGGTAACAAAATGCTGTTGGCTAAAATATTTTGTGAATTAATTGAACGTTTAAAAATTTCCCTCAGAGATTGGTTTCTTGAATCAGCCCATATGCACAATAGAAATTATGTAAATAGTTTTTAAAGTACTTATAAAACATTCTGGGATCTGCTGGTTATACTGTTTTGGATGAAGAGAAGGGGAGACACCCACAAAATATGCTTGCAAATACAGTAACTCTTGATCTAGAACTCCTGGCTCTTGTGAGGCTGACAATTTCAATCCAACAGAATTAAGTATTTATTTCCTATATTGATGATGTGACTGGCATATTTAAAAAATATATAATTATAAAAGCCTATGTTGGGGGCTGGCGCCGTGGCTCACTTGGCTAATCCTCCGCCTGAGGCACCAGCATCCCATATGGGCACCGGGTTCTAGTCTTGGCTGCTCCTCTTCCAGTCCAGCTTCTGCTGTGGCCTGGGAGGGCAGTGGAGGATGGCCCAAGTGCTTGGGCCCTGCACCCACGTGGGAGACCAGGAGGAAGTACCTGGCTCCTGGCTTCGGATTAGTACAGTGCAAGGGCCGTAGCAGCCATTTGGGGGATGAACCAACGGAAGGAATACCTTTCTCTCTGTTTCTCTCATTGTCTGTAACTCTACCTCTCAAATAAATAAATAAAATCTTCAAAATAAAAAAAAAATCCTGTGTTCATTCAGTAAATACATTTATGAGAGAAATTAAACTATTAATTGCTAGCCCATTATCCAAATAAGATTAGCCAATTAGCTCTTTGCTCCAATTAAAAGAAAAAACGTGACATTCTTTATATTTTTTACAACAAATTGTGTACTGCATAACACATCTTTAGGGGACTTATTTACAAAATTGTAGTGCTACAGTTTGTTGTATCATTGTTGTCAGCTTGTGCGACACAGCCAAATTAGTTTTTTCTTGCGTGAGAAGAAATGAGGTGAGCTGGGCAGGGGTAAACTCCCTTCTCTTCCCTTTCTTTCCCTCTTTATCTTTCATCCTTTCTTTCTTTGTTTTCTTCAGCTGAGGCAAATATCTTCCACATTTTAAAACTATCTCTGACTAGCGTAGGCACTGTGGCACATGGAAAGGCTGCCACCTGGGAGACCCACATCTTGCGATTGGATTCCTGCCTCTGCTTCCCATACAGTTTCCTGCCAATGCGCACCCTGGCAGGCTTTAGCAAAGGGCTCACATGTTTCCATTCCTATCACCCGCATGACAGATACGGATGCAGTGCTGGCTCCTGGCTTTGACCAGCAACTAGAACATCTTGCCATTCTCTCTGGCTTCCTCCCTCTCACTCCTCTCTCGGTTGCCCTGCCTTTCAAATACATAAAAATAAACAAATCAGTTTTATAGAGTTCTGACCTTTTTACATCTAGCTAAGTTAAAAAAAAAAAAAAAAAGCCTGCAAAATCTTCACCGATTACTGTACAGATACTACATCTGAGAACAGAAAAATGTAAAATGCAAGTTAATTTCTACGTCCCATCCCCTATAACCATTACTCATTCAACAAAGAATACATCCAAGGCGCTTGAAAAATCTCAGGAAAAATAAGATTGGAAATTAAGTTTCATTTTGCTGCAATAAAAAAAAATGGAAACCACGTATAGTTTTTCTATACTATTACGTTCCATGAACTTTGTGAAGGCTTCTCGCGTAGGTCCTTGCTCTTCAGAGCTCAGTACTAACACTGATTAAGCACAGCTGTCCATGATGGCCTTCACCATATTATTTCTAGGGGGCAGGTCTGACCAGTATGCTTCTTCTACAGAGAAGGAAACCCATCCTTAGAGACTCAAAAGAAACTTGCCCAGGGCCACTGAGCTACAGCAGACCCAGGATTTATGCCTAGGTTGGAGAAAGCCACTACCCCTTCGAGTGAATACTGCCAAGCACTCAACATACGTGTACCACAGCTTGGGATGGCGGCTCACGGAATGATTTTTGCCATTAGCTGGAGTGTCTTTTGTTGCTGATTTACTCAACAGGAATTCTTGAAGCTTCTGTTTTACTTCTGTGCTTGCCACTGCCCCTGAAACACACACAGAGACACAGAAACAGATGCGGATTGTGAGTCCAGTCCTCTCCTGCCTTGGCATATTTAACAAGATGAAGAAGCAACATCACTGCTCACAGCATAGAAAGTTTCCTATGAAAAGAAAAACCAGAGTCTAGCCAGGCTTTAGAAAATGGCACAGTGATGCTTTGAAACTACCAGCTTCAACTGCCAATTTTCAAGAGACCATCAATGGCTTATTTAATTGCTTTTGCAGAAAAGGAATTCCCAGAATTAATACATTTTTTTAAAAACACCACTGACGTAAAAAACAGTTCTAGAAATCAAGAATCTTGGGCACCATACTCTATCCCTTAAACACATTAAAATGACCTGAGTTGCTGGTTTGAAAAATTTAACTTTTCTTTAAGCCCCTCTGAGTATTAAGCAAATAAATGTTGCTGACAATTCCAGTCCAAGTCATCACATTTTAAACCTCTGTACGACCTGATTTGGAACTGACCTACTAGAGAGGAATTATTTGGCTATGTCTCCCTCTTGTGGAGAGTTCTTTTTGCAAGAATCTGAGCAGGCAGACACTCCAAGCGGCCATGGCTTGACTTAAGGAGCAATTATTGCTTAGGCAGGAGGAAGGAAAGCCAAGAGAGGGGATGTGGACTTAACAGGGTTCTTAAACAAAGGGGCTTATCCTGGACTGCTTTAATATGAGGGGCTACGTTCACAAGAAGGGAAATCAGCATCTTTGCCAACACAACGCCACCCTGACTCCTTGAGGAACTCTGCAGTTTAGATCAAGGGGCCGGCAGGTGAAGGTTAAGGCTTTACACGGGCGTTTACGATTCCTTCTCCGAATTAAACACCGACAACCTGGGCAAGTTAAATTGCGCTCTTTATCAGGCCTCTTTCTGAATGGCGATCAGCTAAAGATGAGGGAAGAGCCATCGTTTACCCTGGCGCCTCTTACTTTCTCGTCCTCTGTCTTTGCCTCTGAGAGGAGGAAGCTGCAGTTCTCTGCGGTGCCTCTCTACTTCCTGTTCTTGCCTCTGCTGCTCCAGTTTCTGCTCTTTTTCTAGGAGTTCTTGCTGCTGTTTTATGGCTAGAAGTTCCTGTTGCAACTTGCGAGAAGAGAAAGACATGAGAGTGTGCAATTTCTTTAGGCTTCATCATTAGCACTGACCAACATTATGAGCTGGTGGAACTCGTTTGCTTTAATTTATAGTTGACCCGCTTTTCCATACATCATTCAATCAGAACACAAGCCAGTAATGCCACGATGGTCTTAATGTCACCAACAAGCAAGTTTCCAAGTAGCTACCTGTGCTTCCCGATCAAAATCAATTACTCGCTTTGCTAATGTCTTTTTGTCTCTATCAATTAAATCTTTAGTCTCCCTCACTAATTTTGCTTTGTCCACATGAACTATGTGGAAGGCACTGCCCAGAAATCCATTTTACAACGCTTCTCCACTATAAATAAACAATCAAAGCTCTCAGTTGAGAAATGTCACAAAAATCATCAAGTGAGTAAAATGTGATATATGAGTTGATCTGGAGAAAATTACCTCCTGTCCTAGTATAAATTCTTAAATATGTAAATAACAAACATTTTTTCTTACACTTTTGTTAACTTATTTTTTTAAAAACACACAGCATGAAACAAATAGAACAAACGCCAAAAATATTTTAAAAATGTATAAAGGTCTCCAGAGACTAATGTAAATCGATATGTCCATAATAGGTTCTTCCCTAAGAATAGCAAAAAAATGTTATTCTTTCACTCAGGCCATATAAATCTTCATTAGTCAGGAAAGTATTGCTTCCATAAAACCACACTTTAATGCATTATTGTTTGGCTCTCTGCAACTGTTGAATTCACTTCCAAGCAACGAATAAGATGAATATGAGGCATTCTTAACAGTTTCCTAGGAAGAACAGTCACTGTGCCCACAAAAGGACAACTGAAGCCCTTGAGTTTCACCTGCGCTTTAACATTACAAGACATGGGCTTGGCTGGCCAAGCTACTAAACTGCTCAGAACCTGACTCCCCTGTCCTTAATACACAGAAAAATCAGCCGCGTGCATCAGAGTCATAAGGCAGATAATGTTTAGGTTTGAACCGCACTCATTCGAATTATTATTACCATTTGTAATTGTAGATACTAACAAAGTGAGTATATAATTTGTTTTTTACATTTGTAAGGTAACTGAGTTTATACTGAAAAATAAGTGAACAGAGAGAAGTTATAAGGAGCGGCATCAGGAAGCCAACTGGAGCCCACACTCTGTCAAACACAAAAGGCTGACTCCCAGGAGCACATGGCTAGTAGCATTTCTGGTTACCCATGCTACCTGGCTCCTAGCTGTTTTAGCTCTGATACACCGGTCCCTCAGTGAATGATTTTAGGTCTTCCATTGCAGCAGAATACTCAATCGCTTAAACTCTGCCTTAGTTAATTCTACATAGATATTAGAGTTGGACAAATTTATTCAGTGCTTCCCCAGAGTTTTAGTGCAATTGAACTTTAATCTGCCTTGGGGTCTAGAAAAGCTCACAATTATCCTACCTGCTATGTATTACCAAAGACTGCAGAAATGACATTTAAAAATAGAAAAATTTCACCCCTCCATTTCCAAATGTTCTGAGGTAGGAGACAGGTAGGGTGACTTTAGAGGTTTGGAGGCAGACAAGGCAAGACTATGAATCTTGGAGCAACCCCTTACTGGCTGTATACCTTGAAGCAGTTACCTTATTTCTCCCTACCTCAATTTACAAGGTAGAAAAATGGGACGACAGACTCTAACCCAACAGCTCTTGATTATTAAAGAAGCCAAAGATTCAAAAAAGCTAATTTAGTTTATCTACCATGTATTATGTTTGTCTCATATATGTAAAATCTAAAAGAGTATATTTACAAGCATCAACTTTTAGCCTTACTCATAATGTGATGAACTAAATAAAAAATTAAATGAAAATTTGCTAATCATAAAAGAAAATTTTAAGTATGCTCTCAGTTTCTACGAAAACAATTTATTCCTTTAGAAAACCATTTTAAAAGCTAAAACTTCCTTTAGGCTACCTCAAAATCCTCTATTTCTCAGGAGTCTATTTTCCAATATTTTCTAGGCTTCAATACACCTGCTGTATAATTGTGCTTGGTCCAAAGGTACAATTATCTAGTTACTACTATTATCTTTTGAGTAAAATCAAATACATAATTACCTTCTAAAAAACTTTACTTTTACAACTACAGAATGCACCAATCATAAAGAAATAACTTGCCTTGTACTCAGGGCAAAAGGATTCACATACAGCAGCTAACTAAACTAGATAGATCCTTAGATCTTAAAGTATGGAGAGAAATGTAATTTCACTCCATATGCATGCTGGGATGGACCTAAGGGAGAGATCTAGACATCAATATGCCCATTATTGCTTCACAGGTCCAGTGTTTCAGCATTCGTTCAAAAATAGGTCTATGAACTACCTGATGGGCACCCACACTTCAAAACAGAGCTACAAGTTACAGATTCCATGGAGGACCTAAAGAAAATGTTCACTCTTAGAAATAAGACATCTTTTAGGTTAATAACATGCAAGAGTTCTTAAAGTTCACTAGTAAGAGATAAAAATGTATTTATTTATATCAAGTATTTAGAAAAATAATCTAGGTATGCTAAGCTGAGGAAGACTCTGGCAGAGCTTGGAACACAGGGAAAAAAGCATTTTGGCCTTCTCAAGCATTATAGTATTGATGTGGTAAAATTATATAATATTCAGCTAGATTAGTTTTCTGTATTATTCCCACATCAGTGTGTATAATCCTGATATCAAGAAACTGTTAAGTGTTTACAAAACAATAGAACATGACATAACATAACAAAAATTTACATTAACAAATTAGCATATTCAAGACATCTTTGAAGGAACTGGATATAAAATGAAATTATAAATATTCGCTACTTTCAAACCACTATCAAATTAAATTAAATTAAATTTCAAATTAAATATATACATAATCATTTTAAAATAGCCTTATCTTCAAATGATTTCTTAAAAAGTTGAAAGACATGTTACAAATAAATGTAAAGTAATATTAATTTCTGAAGATAACAAAACAAATATACAGCACATCTAAAATAATCTAGTAATAAAACTGGCCATCAAAAAAGTTCTGGGATATGGATATATGTCTCCAAGAATAACTTAAACACCTTAAATCTCAAATTTTCAACTCCTAAATTTGCTTCAAAAATTTTTTTTCTACAAGTCTATACAATCATTGGAAATATTTGAACCAGCTTCCCCATATACTAATACCTTGGACTTTTTATTATGTTATTGCCTTGAATATATACCATGATTTTCTTCTATAAGCAGATACGGATATATTCAGAATATACACTTCTAGACCAAAGACTGAAAGGGGAAAACCATCTCTGTATTCACAGAAGTAACGAATTCATCCTCCCTGGTCGATGGTGCATGTACACTCTTTACCCCATTTTTCAGGGCTGACATTGCTCTTGGAGAAGAGATGAGGTAAAGGAGCAAAATCATGGCGGGCAGGATCCAAAATGAGGGTAAGAAGCTACTACTCCTGATGCTGCAATCTATGATCAATGGAGGAAAGAGTGGTAGAGGCCCTGTTCTGGTCGACACCTGGTCTGAGTGGGTCCCTGGTCCCCAGTGTGGTGGTGAGGGGCAGAACCTGTAAGAGGTGGGACGCACTGGCAGGTTCATTAGGTCATGGGTTTCCACTCTCAGAAATGGATGCACATGGTCTTGTGGGAGTAGAGCAGACTGGTTTCCCTGAGAGAGTGAGCAAGGGAAGGAGGGGAGAGAGAGAGAGAGAGAAAGACTGCAGTGTTATCTAAACAGCGAGCTTCTCACCCTGTGATCTCCCCTTTTGCCCATGGCTGGTGCCCTTTCAGCTTCTCTCCCACGCTGCCATGGTTCCCTGGGGGCCTTTGGCCAGACACTGGCACTGCCTGTCAAGGCCCCTCCAGCCACCAGAATCACGAACCAAATAAGCCTCTTTTGCAAATTACTCAAGCTCAGGTATTTTTGCTTTAACAACCTCAAAACAAGCCACAACAGACTTTCTAAACAGCAAAGCAGATTTTCAGAAGACACTTGCCCAACGTTTTCCTTAGTATGATCAAAATGTCCTTTAAGCCGTACCTGCGTGTCCTAACCATGGTGAAACTCCCTTCATCCCATGCCCGCCATGGGCGCACCTGGGGCACCGTGCAGATGCCTGGGGAAGAGACCACAGACAAAGAAACCTCTGCTACCTTGATGTGCTCCTGAAGCTGAGCCTGGTGCTGCCGCGTCAGATTCTCGTGCTGTTTCTGAAACTCGGCGATCAGGAGCTGCTTCTGGATCTGCTGCTGCTGCTGGATGAGAAGTAGCTCCTGCTGCAGCTGCTTCTCCCGGACCACGGGGTCCACGGCGGGCATCATCATCCTGAGGTCCGTCCTCAGGTCCAAGGGCGAGATGGGCTCCAGCCCCACAGGAACCTCGGACTTCACATCCACTGCGGAGCCAGCAAGAGAGAAGGGGGGAACGGAAATCAGCACACTGGTTTGAAGACATGCAGAAGAGGAGAGGCAGTGCACCCTGCATGACCAACCCCGTGGCAGTGACTCTGGTTGGTTGTTGACAACCGCCTTCTGAGCATTGGTTGTGATGAATGGGCCCGGTGAGAAATTCAGGACAGCCAGTGGTGTTCTCCGGTAGAACCCCCACATTTCCCTTTTTTCCAAAGAGATGACTTCCATTTTTCACTGGTACCAATGTGATTCAGAAAAAAAAAATGTATTATGCTGCACCACTTACAAACACAGAGTCTATCTGGACCAAAAAAAATGCAACCCTATTGAAAGACGTCATATTTTAAGAGAAAACCTTCACTGCAACTCTATTTGAGCACTTGTGAACATTTGTTGTTGTTTTGTTTTTTTTTTTTTTTTAAATCACAGCGAGATGATGTAATCTACCTTAAAAAGTAAAGCCTATAATGCATTTACAGGACTATTGGACCTAGTAAAGGAAGACTACAAGTCTGCGTTTTATTGTGGGAGACTGTGATGTGCGCCACAGCATGGGTGCCGGATCCAAAGGGCAAGGAGCGATCATGGCCAAGTTTCTGAGTGCTGGCTTCACACAGAAATCAGATATATTTTGGTCACCTCATTCCTGACACAAACAAAAGGGCAGGACGTCAGGAAACTTGGGCCAAGTATTTAGTCAAAGTCAAGTATGCAAACAAGATCTGACGCTCTGAGAATAATAACAGAAGTTCAACTTTAATTCTATAAAAATTAAACGAGTTAATGCGTATAACATCCTCAGCACCACTCCTAGTAGATAAAAACGGCTGCTTTCTGAAGGAGTGGTTTGACCAAGAGAGCCACAAGCAGGGGAAACGTTCAGATGTGCCAGCGGTTTACAGCACTGCTCACTGTCCCTGCCAAACTGGCAGTGGACTCTTTCGAGGACGCCCCTTCCCCAAGGGACCCACAAAGTTTTGTAGCTAAGAAAAGGAGGATAAATCATAGATGATTGGGCTTTTGAAGAGGAAGTTGTGGCAGAGTGGACTGCATGGTTCAGGCACTCCTCAGCATCAACCAATTATTACTGGGACACAAAAAAGCAAGAAAAGAACCAACATAGAAGCAACCTAATTTGTAACTGAAAAAAAATTATTTGGAAGACTTAAACTCTGGGAACAACAGCAACAGCAAGGAAACATCCTCCAGGAAGTGGACTCTGCCACGTGGGTGTGACACTTTTCAAAATCTGCTCCAGTGCCCGCATGTCTGTCCCCATTCTTCTTCCTGCCTATCTTTGAGGAAGCTATTAACTTCCCCCTGCCTCAGTCCCCTCTTCTGGTAAGTGGAAATTATCACAGTATGGAATAAATTTGATCACCCATTCAAAGTACTTAAACAGCATATAGCACACATCCCTCCACAGTGCTTTGCTTTTGCTTAAATTACACAAAAATAGAAATTTCCTATAAAATAATATAAATCCTCAATAGTGAGTGATTAACCAGGCAAAAATAAAAACAAATATTAAAGTAAGATGGTTTATGATTTCTATTAAATATTAGAAAATAAAAGCTCTAGGCTGGCGCCAAGGCTCACTAGGCTAATCCTCTGCCTGCGGCGCTGGCACACCGGGTTCTAGTCCCGGTCGGGGTGCCGGATTCTGTCCTGGTAGCTCCTCTTCCAGTCCAGCTCTCTGCTGTGTCCCGAGAAGGCAGTGGAGGATTCCCAAGTGCTTGGGCCCTGCACCCGCATGGGAGACCAGGAGGAAGCACCTGGCTTCTGGCTTCGGATCAGCACAGCACGCCAGCCGTAGTGGCCATTTGGGGGGTGAACCAATGGAAGGTAGACCTTTCTCTCTTTCTCTTTCTCACTAACTCTGCCTGTCCAAAAAAGAAAAGAAAAGCTCTAAAATCTTTAGAAAATGGACAAATAAATACAATTAAGCAACTGAAAATCACCTTCACCAGTAAAGAAATGCAAATTAGATATAAAAATAAAGCATCTTTAATTAACCTGCAGTACCACAATGCCAGCCCATAAGTATTTCTACCATTTGATTCAGGTTTGCCAACTCTAGGAATGTATAATAAGGGGATAATACAGAGAAAAAAGTTTAATATCATATTATTTACAGGAATATTACTACAACTGAAATCACCAACTTAAAAAAAAGTCTAAGTAAAATATGTCACATCTATTTGGCAGAAAAATATGCAATCATTCAAATAATGTACATGGGGACATTAAAAATGCTGTTACATTAAGTGAAAAAATGGAACAAAAGCAACATAGAGACCATGATAACTAATTAAACTACATAAATAAGGGGCAGTGTTTGGCAGTAGTTAAAACACTGCTTGGGGGGGCCAGTGCTATGGCATAGCAGGTAAGGCTGCCACCTGCAGTGCTGGCATCCCATATGGGTGCTGATTCATGTCCCGGCTGTTCCACTTCTGATTCAGCTCTCTGCTATGGCCTGGGAAAGCAGTAGAAGATGGTCCAAGTCCTTGGGACCCTGCACCCATGTGGGGGAACCTGCACCCACATGGGAGACCCGGAGGAGGCTCCTAGCTCCTGGCTACAGATCCTGTGGCATTTCAGCTATTTGGGGAGAGAACAAGTAGATGGGAGAGCTCTCTGTCTCTCTGCCTTTAGAAGGAAGGAGATAAGGAGAAATATCATTATATTATTAGAACTGTATCTATGAACTACATTGAATGTTCTATTTGTATTAATATCATATTAACATGAGAATTGAGGAGAACTGTGTTGCAACGATTATCATGCACTTGGTGTGATCCTGAGAATCTGTGTTAACGAATTCCTTAAATAATGAAATGAAGGAAATTTAAAATAAACTATATAGTTTATCAAAGCAATATACATTTTTTGAGCTCTAAGCACCAGGCTTCATTCTAGCTGTTGGGGTTCAAAAATGTTTAAAAACTGATAAAAATTCCAGCCCCAGTGAGCATAGATTGGGGTTTTAATTGTATTGGTCTCTATAAATTCCTATAATAAAGACTGGTGACATACAGAACTGAAAACAGTTGCCTTTTGGATGGGAATAGAAATGATTCTCTCTGTTCTTCTATTTTTCTATATATTTTTCCAAATCGAACATAGCTATGACTACTATTATCATAAGTAACTAAAGTAGAAGCTGGCATTGTGGCACAGAGGTTAAGCTATCACTTGTGATTACAGCATCCCATATGAGCACCTGTTCAAGGCTGGGCTGCTGCACTTCTGATTCAGCTCCCTGGTGATGTGCCCTAGGAAAACAGTGGAAGATGGCCCAAGTATCTGGGCACCTGCCTCCCACGTGGGGGACCTGGATGGAGTTCCAGGCTCCTGACTTCAGCCTGGGTCAGTTCTGACCCTTGCAGCCATTTGAGGAGTGAACCAGCAGATGGAAGATCTTTTCCTCTCTCTGTCTCTCCTCTGTCATTCTTTCAGATAAATAAACCTTTTAAAAAAAAAAGAAAAAAGGAACTAACAGATTTTCAAGAATCTCAGTTGAGATCTACAAAGTTCGTATTTCATGTGGATTAAAGGGCTATTATCAGTAAATCAAGAAATTCCAACAGACATCTTGTCTATAGATGGTAAGGCTTTTTTAAAAAAAGATTTATTTATTCATTTAAAAGGCACAGTCAAAGAGAGGGGGAGAATCAGAGAGAGAGAGAGAGAGAACAGGAGCATGGAACTCTACCCTTGTCTCCCATTTGAGTTACAAGGGCCCAAGAATTTGGGCCACCTTGTACTGCTTTCCCAGGTGCATCAGCAGGGAGATGGATTGAAAAGTGGAGCCTCTACAACTTGAACCAGAGCCCTTATAAGATGCTGGCATCACAGGTGGCATCTCAACCCACTGTGCCACAATGCTGATCTCAGATGTTGAGGCTTTAAATACTAAAACATTAAATGCCCTTGCTTGCTGTTTGGATTGCATATGTGTGTACATGTAGACTGGTATCAACCTTGGGTGCCCAACACTGGCCATTTTTCAATGTATTGATCAGAAGTTTACTGTGAGTTTACTTGTGTTTCTTTAATGAAAATGGGAAAGTTTATTAATAAATTAAGATTTTGGTGGGAAATGCCTTCTAATGAATGATGTCTGTAAAAGAAAATAATGTAACAAATTTTGAAGCAAATGAAGATGAGGATCCATAAGAACTCTAGGCTGCAGTGCCCAGTGCAGCACTTGGAGGCCAGGCTGTGGAGGAACATAAGATTTGGAACACTAACTTAAAGGGCTGGCATAACTCCAAATAAAAGCAGTGGTTGTTAATGATTTATTTCATTTTTTACATTACAAAGGCCAAACTAGAGCCTTCAGTTTTTACAAGGAAATCTTCATAAACAAAGGTCAGACTTTAACCCCCATAAAGACAAAATGTAAAAATTCAAGAGCCCCCAGGGTTTGTTCTTGCCAGCCTTCTTACTATTCATAAACTACTAACATTGAACCACTAAAAAATTTCCCAAAAAAAGATAAGTGTGTGTGTGTGTGCGTGTACAGTGGGGTGTGTGCAAAGGTTTGGAGGGAGTCCCCATGAGTCTCTGAAACAGTTATTGTAAACCTCAGAGGGTAATTTGACTTCTTAACCTGCTATCCCAACAGAAATGATTGTGTCTAACTGCTTGCCTTTGTTCAGGGACTAATCACTAAATTGTGAAAAATCACCCTCAACTTACAAAAACTGCTCCTGATTATAAATAATTGCCCAAGACTGAGAGAACACGGCAGGCAGGATCCCAGTCTTTCATCCAATTTATTCAGCAGCAATCCACATTCCATTTGTCTAGACTAAATATAGCAGCGTTTATACAAGAAATCAATAGTGCTCACAGGGAGGAGAGCACAGGCATGAATATTTCATCAAACTCAGCAACAGCAATCAGCAAACTGATGGTCTGTGCAGGTCATCTCTGGCCTGCTGGATTAGTTCCTGAGGCTTGGACAATAGCTCAT